ACTAAGTTACACCATATGGTACACGCAAAGATGTAAAACACTTTGTACTTATGTAGCGCCTTTCATGTCAGATGAACGAGTAAGGGCTCCACAAAGTCAAAGGGAGGACAGATCAGGGAGGAGAGGATGTGGATGTGGAGTTGAATGGATGGTAACAGAGAAGGTTTGGAGATGGAACAAGATAGAGCAAGGCACTATAAGAAGGATGTAGCAGCTATGGAAAAATTACAGCATAGGTTGAAACCATGAGGATGAAACAAGGCCTGGTCGGTTACTGCTATCAGAATAGATTGGATATGTCAGGCCTTTCTTTGCTGCAGAAGAGGGGACTTAATAGAGATGTTCAAAATCTAAAAGGGGTTCGATAAGGTTATGCTGTTCCCACTGACAGTCTAGTCTGTAACTGGGGGACACAGGTATAAGATAGCAACTGGGAGAATCTAAAAGAGAATACAGGAGGAACTGCTTCACACAGAGGGTAGAGAGATGTGGAACTTGTGGTTGGAAACGGTGATTGAATCAAATAGTGTAGCTGCATTCAAGAGGAAGCTAGATATAGACATGAGGGACACGGGAATAGGAGGATATGGGAGGGAGTAAAGAGTAGGTGGAAACTCTTGGAGTATAACCACCAGCACTGACCGATTGGGCCGAATGGCCTGTTTCCACCCTGAACATTCAATGTGAATCATTGCTCGAAAAGTTCTGGGAAAGCTGCAGAGAGTGGCCCCGGGAGGAACAAGCTATATAGCAGAGACAGAGGAGCACAGGGCCAGGAAGAAGGAGATTTCAAAGCTTAAGGAGGCCTCAACCCTGAAGGAATTTGAAGATCAGAATAAAAATCATAAAATTAATACACTGAGAGCCAGTGCGTCTAATGTAATAGGTTGTTGGGGAGGTATGGGTAGACATTGTTGCAATCCCTGAGCATCGCCCAAACAATGTCCCGAAATACTGTTTAACATCAGCGAGCAAAACAACAGTTGAAGGGTTTCACGTGGGTGAGGTTATCAAAAGAGCTCAATCTCCCAGCGAGAGTTCACATTTCTCACATGCTTACAAATACCTCTTGCATCTCCACAGCTGCTGGGTCATATTTCCAGGATTGTAGGTTCAGGAGAATAAAGGGAGTCGTTTAGCTCTGTTTTTGATCAGTATTGTGTGCACATGAGCTCCTGGCAGCAGTCCAAAGTGCTCTCTACAGCTTGGAATTACTCACAGATACCGTGCAGCTTATTGGAATCAAATTGAGTAATTTACACAGCAAAGCAGTTTATACCTAAGAATAATTTACGAGCAACAGCTTATTTTAGACTCATTTCGTCTCGTCTCCAATGTATGAACTAATTGGCATCTTAAAATCCGTTTTGCTCAAACTGAATTAAGATAATTCATGTTTTGTTTCCCTTTAGTTTCCTTTTCGTTTCTCCAAGCTATTTTTCACCCAAGAAGCCATTTCTTCATCTGTGAGATATGACAGCAAATGTCAGCCTGATGTTTAAGCCATGGGAGGAGGAGCATAGAAGCAGGCAGGTCAGATCCTGTCCCCATCCAATGTCCCAGTGAACAATCACAGACATCACTGGATCAGGAATCTATTCATCCCATCGCTGTTTGTGGGAGATTGCTAATGCAAATTAGCTGCCGTGTTTTGTCTCCTTAAAAACATAGCCTTAATTTCTGGAAAGACATTTCTTTTTAACGTGAAATGTGTTGTGTAATTTGCTGTTGAACTTGGTGGTTGATTTATTGTCCTCACTCTATCGAATTCTCACCAATCCCTTTGCCTTGTGCACTCCCCCTTCATTTTTAAATCCCTTCTAAAACCTACCTCTATGACTACACCTTTGGTCACCTCCCTCTTCCCTCTTCCACCACCCTATCTCCCATCCTGTGCAGGCTCCCACTCATCTCTGTAAAATGCGTTTAGAAGTTTAACTACATGAACTAAGTCCAAGTTGTTGCTTAACCTTTAAAGTACAGTAGATATCACACAATAGACCTTTTTAGAGAAGGTTTCCCACTTCTCATTGCTACCCAAACATGCATGATGCTAAATTGACAGAGAAAGTAAATGCAATACAATACTTTCAGCTACACCATGGGGACAGGTCAAGATGGTACAGATTCCGAGTGTATAGGGCAATGTTAGGACCAATACCAGGAAGTATTTCTTCATACAAATGCTATTTAACAACTGGAACAAGTTACCAGAGAGGCTAGTGAAGAATAGAACACTGGAGTACTTCAACAAACTGCTTGTCAGAGTAATGGAAAGACTGAAGTGTGGGTGTTCTGGAAGGTTGAAGAGCTCGACTCTCTGTATTGCTCCTATCGTATTTGTGTTCTCTCCTATGACATTACTAGAAGGTGTGTAGGTGCAGCGTTGGGTGAAGGCTGGATCGAGTTCAGTTGAGTTCTTTCGAATAGACCGCAAACACTCTCTGTCTAGACAGTATATGAAGAATGGCAACTTGGGCTGAGGATGACAGGCACTCATGGAATTGTTCATTAATAAATAGTCATCCCCTTCAGGATGGGATGGGAGAATATGTGAGAGGAGAGGAGAAGGGCGTAATGACTGCCGAGACTACTCCTTGCCTTCTTTGCCTTCCAGATAAACAGAAAGGTGAACCATCTTTACAGATTGCTATTAAATATTGAAATATAAAAGTTGAAGGTGCAGTTGATTGCTGGCACTCTGCATTATGGGGAGGAAGAGGTGTTTGCTGAGACCAACTTGGCTAATCTCATGTCATGAAGGCTTCAGAAGCTAATTAGCTGTGAAGTGAGCCCTGCGTACAGTATTGCAGTTCACGCTTAAATACACGCCCACCTCTTCTGCCAAGCGTGGGCTCCTGTTACATTTGTTTTAGGGGAAACGTTATGTCTGGACAAACAATATGTACTTCACATGGACAACTCTGCTGATGTGATTAGGACTGTTAGAACTTATTATACGGTAATCATTGCCATTAGGCATTCTTCTCTTCAGGAGTTCACGTGTTGTCAGATTTCATTGTGATCTTCCTAACAGAGAGCTCGCTTTCCCTTCTCCTCATTGAGCTAAGTGTTGTGTTCTGTGGAGTCCTGTAGCTCAGTGGTTAGAGCACTCGCTTTGCAAGCGAGAGACCTGAGTTCAATTCCAGACAGAGGGCGAAAGCTTGGGCAAGTTTCCTTACTCCACACAGAGCCTAATAATAATCCCTCCAAAAAACCAAACACAATAATAAATTGATCATTTTCAATCTACGACTGTTTGTGGGACATTGCTGTGCGCAATTGGCTGCCGCGTTCGCCCACAAATATACAGTCAATTCACTTTACAGTGTGTTCTGTGAAGCGCTTTAGGACGTCCTCCCGACGTGAAAAGCGCTATATCAAATGTAAGGATTATTAAGGATTATTATTGTGTTGCAGGATACTCAGTCTCAAACTGCACTGCATCCACCAACAAAAAATCTGGCTCGTCCCTCCCTTCAGTTACAATGTCATGTAACCACAACCGAGATTTCATATTTGCAGCAATATCAATGGCAAGCTGTGCGGTTTTAGCTGGTTAGACTCCAGCAGTTACCCCCAACGCACACTCTGGGCTCTCCGAGCCTTGGCTCTTGCCAAGCTGCGCCTAATAATTTCCGGAATTAGGTAAGCAGGATGCATTCCTCCAGGGAGAGATTGCGCATTCCATTCCATCAATCTATCTCTGGAATTTCCACATTAAGGTGGGATACATGGAATTCACAGTTTGCTTTGGATACTCTTAAGAATGATGGTGGGTTTCCACATGTGTCAGACACCTGGCTGACCCCCCCAAAAAAATTCTCATTCTTCCAGGATATCTACCCTGCGATCATTTCTTTACAGCATCCAGTGGTTTCTTCAATAAGTCCAATGTTCTGGTAATCTGTTCCAGGTGTCGATTCTGTGCAAATAATTTTTTTAATGTCACCTAACAATTACTTCTTGTGACACTTGGCAATTGTCTTATTTCGTGCAGTGGTGTCTTGCGTCTTAGGCTTTGAACGTTCACCCTCTTCACTCGACTGAAAAAAATATACGATAGAATTTATTCTGTGAATGTGAACCTGCATTTACACAAAATACAAAAATAGCAATTGAGGTGTTGTTGGGCTGTTTCTACTTGTTGCTAAGTCCAAAACTATAGGCCATAAATATGATCATCAGCAACAAATCTAAGCGAGGATTTAGGAGGAGCTTCTTCACACAGAGGGTGGTCAGAATGGGGAACTCACTGCTGGAAGCTGTGGTCGAAAAGCATCAATGTGTTTAAAATAAAACTTGATGCCTATGTGAGGGAGAGGGGAATAGAGGAGTATGGGAGGGAGTATGGGAGATTATTAAAGAGGCTGGCTCATGGCAATTACAGCTCTTAGTGCTACAAATGGCTCACACCATTTTAGTGTGTTAGGCACTGACCTGAGATGTCCCTGAGCATACTGTGGATATAGTCTCTGCATATCCAATGTAGAAAGCAAGAGGACAACTCGTTACTCAGAGCTTCATATCCATAACACTCAGTTTTCAGAGGAAGGAAATGTTTTGCAGCACAATGCACAGTCAAGGTGAAGCCAACATATGTTCCGAGGCAGCAAGCTCCCACACCTGCCTGACGCTATATCACTGGTCCTGTCTGGAGAGGCTATGTAAATAAATTCAAAATAAAAACAGAAGTCACTGGGAAGACACAACAGGTCTCACGCTCTAACAAGGTTCTGTCTCTGTTCAGTAGCTGTCAAAGATCCAGTGAATATTTCTCAATTGGAAAAGAGAAGGGAGTTTGTCTCTCCCGGTGTCCTGGCCAACAATCCCCCAGATAAAATTGAGCATTTACCTCATGGCTGATTACCAACACGTCACTACTGCATTGACCATAATTACTGTAAACATCTTTGAGATGTTTTGCGATCAAGCGTGAAATATAGAACTGCGATTTTCCTTCTGTCTAACAGTTCCCTTTGCCCTCTGTTGCCCTGCAGGCTCGCTGACCCTGGACACAGTTCTGATCTCAGCAGCTGTGGTCGTGTGTCTCTCCGCGATGGTCGCCATGTGTGGTATCTGCAAGTGGTGTCAGCGCAAACTGGTGAGTCCGGTCACTAAATACTGTACTTGTTGTTGTTGTAACTGTACACAGTCTGCCCTGAGTAGCCTGAGCAGTAAAGGGTCTACACTCCCAATGCACTGCATGCAATACGAGCGCCGATACTTGAGAGACAATCCTGTTGAGCAATTGTCATGTGGATCTTGTTCAGAGCTTCTAGCTTCCCACGTTAAATCACTGAGAACTCTGCAGCTCGCTTTCTCTCCCATATAATCTGAATGCGTTTGTCAGATTTATTGCATTGATCATAGTCCAGCAGGATTTTATTGCTGGTGATTTGTCAGATTTGGTTGTAAATGGAAGTGATTTTTCCCAGCAGTGTTCTTTTTCTTTCCCTTTTAATTTTCTGCCCCCACATCCCTGGAAGATTATTATTCTCTCTACTTTTCTGGAGGATTGTCCTGGAGAGCAGTTCAGCAGGTTTCTTGATCCTCATCCACTCTTTATATTGCAAGGACCAAGCCCTGTGATTGTTTAGGGTGTTCAATCTTTGGCCGCGAAAGGGAAATGGACGGCATCTTGATTCCAATCCCGATCCCATCTTCACATGTGTACCTTTCCATCAGGAATCATTGGAAGGTGATTGCAATGAGGTTCCAGGCTACTATTGCACTCCCACTGGGCAAGTTGTTGTTGTTACTGGGACACTAAGGTCAGTCGTGATCTTGAGCCCAGCTCATCTCACACACCTCCCCACTGCTAGAAGAGAGAGATTATCTTCCAGGACAGCCTCATGGACAAGCGACCTGTAACCATGTCCCTCAGGTATGTTTGTACCTTCAGGAGAGGTGAGGTAATGGGAGTAAATGGGTGGGAATAACTGAAGGAAATGAGAATAAGAAGCAATTACACGACAAAGGCTTGGCCCTAAAACCAAATTGTTTCCTTTGTATGACATACCTGTAGTCGTGTTATTGGACATTATCCACTGCACCAACTGCATGCACAATATTGCCGGGTGCTCTAGTTAAGGCCTATGTGATTAAAGCAGCAATGACTCGGAATTGAATTTTCAAGTCAGTTTTCCAGTGTTCTTAAAAAGGACTTACCAGCTTCCAAAATCATACTGAATTGAAGAGTTTCCTAAAATCCTGCACAATCTTGTGTTTTAAGACTGTGATTTTAAGACTGAAGACCATGCAGAATTTCAGGCCTCAGACTGCTGCTTCATCATAGATGCTTTCATCCAAATCTCTCTGATATAATTCGGTGCATTGTCTGTGTGAGTTTACTTAACTAAGCTCTTAAGAAGGAAGCCTAGGCTTCTGAAAGTTCATTTACCGGTGCAAATAAGCAGTGTGAAAACTTGAGTGATTGGCGTAACCTAAACTTCAGAATGGTGTGTTTAAGTGCACGGTTGAGCTGCATCATTTTCTGTGAACTGTTGTGACTCTTAAAGGATTAAAATGTTCGCTGCCAAATAAAACCCGGAATGTTTGAAACGATTCCTTCAATGCATTTCAGTCCCCCGCAGAAGACATACCAGTTGTCAGGCATGGTCATGTCACAGAGATAATAATAATAATCCTGCGTTTCAGTCCATATCTCACATCAGTTCAACCCTCATATCTTTGTGGATCTTCAAGGCCACTGTCAATCAGCCTTGGTCTTGGTGATTACAGACTTATTACAAATTTTGCTCAATGTCATCAAACCCCTCTCCTGTTGCTCCTGGTGTGTGCAGAACTTGTCTTGTTTGAAGGATGGACAGATCTTTCGTAGCAGCTGCATTACACCTTGCCTCTCTTTCATGCCGAGCCTCTTAGTACACATCTAATTACTGAGCATAGGTCTGATGGGCAGTTGTCCTTCAGTCTGTAACTATTAAGATATGAGGCAGCCTTGGAGGTTGTCTGTGCACAGGAGTCGGGAAGTACGGATATGCTGCTTGGCCAACTATCTCAATATAGAACAGTCAAAGTCAAATCATCGCTATTTCTGACACTGTTGTCAAACCATTTTAACCCTGCCATTATTTAGCCTCTATGGATAGATTTGATATTGTAATTATTATTCATTCCCAGTGTTTAACTCTTCTTCACCTCCTCCCCCCCCCCCCCCACCCCACAACCTACCCATATTATTTTAATTGGGATGCTGCAAGTGTTGACGTCTAAGGGCTTCAAGAGACAATGTGGGCAATGCCATCATTTTCCTTCCACGTGGATGCCCCTTGTCATGCGATGTTAGACCAGAAAATCTGTCAAAAAAAACCTGACTTAACCACATTACACCGAAGCAATCAGAGCAGCAAGAAAACTGCGAATGCAAACCTGTGTCCTTATTGCAAGAGCTGCCTTTCAAAATGCCACAACATTCCTGTGAGGGAAAAATAGGTCTGCAACGTTTTGAGTGGCTTTTGTTGTCCCATCCTCTCTAATCTCTCCTCAATGAAATGAGCAGGTTATACTCACTGAAACACTGCTTTAATAGTAATAATAACAATCCTTGCCTTATCACGTTGTTGAGACGTCTCAAAGCGCTTCTCAGAATATACTGTAAAGTGAATTGACTGTTTATTTTGTGGGTGAAATATGCTCCAAACTGGAGCCACACATGGAACCTATGGTGGGTTATGGAGGAGGCAATATTTTTCTCTATTAGGCTCACAGTTATGATTGATGTATCTGAAGGGCTTTGCTCTCAGAGAGGGGAATGTTGGACAGATTGTGTCCTGCCTCCGCATTAGGTGGACAGTAGATTACCTCCCCAGGAGTGAAGCTACTGCCTACTCTTCTCAAGTGAAAAAGACAATGAGATTCTCTCTTGACACCTTCAGGGCCTCGCAGCAATGACATGCCAGTTACAGTGTGAGTGGGCACTTCACTGGTGCCGGAGATTTACAGCAGATTAATGCTGTCTGTTGGGTCACGCATACTTACTTACACAAAAAAAAGTTTGTCTGGAATATTTTTCCATTTTAAATGTCTCAAATCACCATCAGATACAGAACATAGCTTTCTTTACACTGTCCGTCCACACCCATAAATCATACCCAGGTCAGCTAGAGGAGGGGTTAGCGACAGAGTAAAGTTCCCTCTACATTGCTCGTCCACACTCCCAGATCAGTGACAGAACATGTTAGAGACAGAGTAAAGCTCCCTCTACACTGTCATAATGTACCTTATCGCAGCATGAAGCAATTCCTTCAGGAGAGCAGGTGCAAGAGAAGAAATTGTTTTCATAAAAAAGTGATATTTTATAAGTGAGCATCTGTTTTCAGAATGACGCTGCTGGTAACATTTTGTCCTGCTCGTTTTGTTCCTTCGCTCTGTCTGTCCCTGTGGTATGGTTCCACAGGAACTAGTTGTCCCCATATGTTTCACCTGAGTGTATGAGCCTTGTTCAATGAGTGTCAGCAGGCTATCAAAACCAAACTAAACCTTTTGTCCATCCGATGCCACTCACACAACACACACCTCGCACACACCACACTTTCCACATTCCCATCGCACAACATGTACATGCACACTAATAATATTTGCATTTGATATAGGTTTTATCACATCAATGGCTCAAAGCCCTTCACTGAGTTTTCCTTTAAAGTCCAGTGACTGTTGGTAAAAGTGGCAGCCAATTTGCGCGCAATAAACAGCCATGAAGTGATGACGACCAATTTTATCTGGACGATTGGTGGCCCGGACACTGGGGGAAACTCCCCTTTTCAAATCGTGCCATGGTATATTTAATATCCATCTGAGTGTGCCTCAGTCTGATCAAAAGGAGAACTTCCAACAGTGCAGCGCTTCCATCAGCCTGGGCAATGAGCTCCAAGTGCCCACTGCGGGACTTGATCGCATAACCTTTTGACCAAGAGGTCGGTGTATGATCTAAACACTCACACACACACACACGCACCACACGGAGTCACTGAATAATGATCAGAAGCGGCAACCTGCTCTGCATGGCTCAGCTACTCTGAATAAGATTATCCTGTCAACCTTTTCAGAGAACAATAACATCTCCTTTTCTGGTGACTATTTTGTCTGTGTGCAGGAGCTCTGTGAGTTACATAAGTCTCACCCTGTGTGCTGAGCAGCTGAGCTTCCTGTGTTCGCTGAGAACACCAGGCCAAGATGCTGAAAAAGCACTCAGTAGGTGGGTTCGTGTAGCTGACAGCTTCAAGTTCTTTAGTTATTTGTATCTTGGCATTCTCTTTGTTTTGTTTCACTTTTCCTCTCTCCCTCTCTCTCTTACACTCACTCCTTCCTCTCTCCAACTAACTTTCTTTCTTTCTGTCTCTCTATCTCTCATCTGTGTGTGTGTGTCTCACTCTCTCTATGTTCTCTGTCATCTCTTTCTCTCATCCCTCTGTGTGTGTCTCTGTCATCTCTCTGAATCACTCTCGCGTCTCTCTCTCTTTCCCCCTCACTGTGTGTGTGTGTTTGCTTATGTGTCTGTTTGTCTGTCTATCACACACGTACATCTCTCTGTACTTTTGTATCCCTTGATCTCTTGTCTCTACAAGTTTGCCAATCCAATCTGAGGCCAGTAGTTCGCATTGATTGCCCGCTGCTCCAGGCTAGAGTATGGCTAGCAGCAGGATACCTTGGGCAAGATAAATGAACACTATTATCTCATTGTCATTGGCGTGCTGCAACATGATGAGAGCTTCAAGGTTAGCGAGAGCGAGACATGCAAAGTTACTGTTCTTCAAACCCCATCCAAATTCTCTTTCAAATCTTGTTTAACCTTCCCCCCATCCCCACCAGCTCCGACTTGTGTTTCTTTAATAGCACTTTGCAAATGGGCTGCTAACGTGAGATCTTAATGAGGCGTGCCATTGCTCCTGACGTCAGAATTTCCACTGCCACTGTCTCGGGCTCAACAGGGCAAAGCTGCTGTGCCTGTATGCCTGCGCTGAGTGGGAAGGCAGATGGTACCAGTGAGACCAAGGGCTGTGGCAAGCTGGTAATCTCTGACTCTGCACAACCCCCCAACAAAGCAGCAGGTACTGAAACTTCGTCACACAGGCCCCCCCC